GTCTTGAACCCAGACTCACGTCACATGATCAAGTGCCTTAACCACTGGGCCAAAGCAGAGCCTGGTGAGACTCTCCCTCTGTCAGTCTATGGGGTTGCTATGGTTACTCACTGATTAGATGAGGAACACCTGTTGTCTCCTCACTTTGGAGAGCTGAACAAGCTTCAGACCACCGCTCAAACAAAAGCTTCTGACTCAACATCTATAAGTCCTATCTGAGAAATAATCACATTGTGAGAATCACAAGACTTTGGCCGAACGTACAGATATATTTTTTATTGGCAAGAGTTCAGTAATGAGACCGTGGGAGCGAGTTAGAAATATTTTTCCGTATTTCTCCTTTTCTGACTTTTTTCTGAAAATTTACATGGAGAAATGAGACCAGAAAAGATTTTTCAAAAAAATGTTCAAGCCTAAACTACTGAACCGACAGATGTCAGAGTGACATGTGTGCGAAGGAAACAAACTCTAGTTTCACCAGATGTAACCCAAAAAAAAAAAATCATGTCTGTCGGACTCTGTTTGATGCTAGGAGAAGTGTTTCAGCACAAAAAAAGTGGCTGAAAAACTGCCGTTTTTGGCCTTTCGCTCTTTTGGGTGATCGGCATTGACTCCCATTCGTCGATTTTGGCCGCGTTTTCGCAATTTTTGAGTGAACTATTGGACGAAATTCTTAGAAAAGTCATAGCACACCATTCGACGTATTTCCGCATGTTTTTTTATAGGTCTCGAGTATGGCACCCATAATTAAACACGAGCAATAGTAATATAAGTACCAGCTGGGGGCGGAGCAAGGCACCCATAATAAACGTGGAATGTTCGAGGAATAATAATATAAGTGCCTATTAATGCATAATAATCAAAAATGTAAGTAATACATTTTCTAAATATGTCAATTCAATCATTAGCATCTACTACAGTAGCCAGACATTTAACTGAAAATGCATGTGTGCCATTTACCTTAAGCGTAAAATTCTATCTGGTTTGCTGTCTCTGTGGTTTTGATTGAGGGAGCTGAATGTGTGTCAGCTGCTGACTGTGTCTACATCTCAAACATGAGTCACATTGGTTCTACTGGCCTATATTCAGCCGTGATCTCCAAACTGGGCTTCTGATGACTGTCTGGAGATCAGATGAGACGATCATGGTGGCCTTTGACAGCAGCACGTGGTGGTTTGCAGTGACTGTGGCCTCACCGGTTCTGTTGTCATGTAGTACACATGGAAGGCTTTTGTATGAACATGGAGGAGGTACATTTTGTTCCTGGCGCCACCCTGAGGACTAACTGGTAATACTCTCAATTTGACAGTTACAGTTACTGTAAATCGCAGATCCACTATAGATTTTATACAGGGAACTCTGTTCTACGTATGGAGGTACATATACTTCACTTGCAAACACTGTGTGGTTTGTGAGTATAAAATCTAACACCAAACATATTTTAATACACCTTCCTTCAGAGATAAATAACTACAACATTTCTTATCCATCAACAAAAAGTACATCCTAATATAGCAACATGTTTCTTCTGTTATTGTCTCACACTTGTCCACCTCCACAACAGCAGGTGGTGCTAGGTAGGGCAGAGCAGACTGAGGAGCACTGCTGCTTGTTGTCAAGAGGACGACGCAGTTACAACCAGTTTTTTAATCTTTATTAAGCACATTTTTTTCATTTTAATGTTAGTTTGAAGATAAAATAAAAGTGTACGAGCATAAACACATGTATATGAAAAAGAATAACTGTGTAAAAACAAATAGAATACATTTCCCTTCCACTGTCTTCGTTTGTGAATGTCTTTCTAGTAACGATTCATGGTTAAGAAACATGTTTCACATTTATTTGATTTATTGTATTTTTTAAGCAAGAACATCAATTGTTTTTTTCCAGTCATTGTTCTTCATATTTATAAATATAAAAATGTAATTAGATAAAGATTTTTTGCTGAAACGTGACATGAGTTGACAATAGTGAGGTGAAAATTGTTTGTCACCTCCTAAGGACTTAATTTAGAAATAATATTTAATAAGAGCAATTTGTAAGTTTAAAGTTATAAGAGCATGCCATAATGAAAAAGTAGCAAACTTTCCCTTTTATTTAACTTTCGATGGCAAAAATCTCTTGACAAACAGAGGGTGGGTCACCATGAACAAGAGTTCGGAAAAAATCTCCTCTTAAGGATTTGAATTGGTGAAAGCTGTGAATATCATAATAACACTTCATCTGGTTTTCCCTATAATTTGCTCAAGGTTATACAGTAAATATTCTAAAGCTTGACAGTGGGGGTCACCATGAACAAGAGTGAGGTGAACATTCTTTGTCTCTTCTTTCTTCTAACTAATATTTAATAGGAGCAACTTATGAATGTCAAAATAAAATATTAGCTCAGTTCACCATTAATTTTATCAAAAAAACATAAATATATAAAAAATTCCATGAAATTATACTTCATGTGTTGAGTGGAAACAAATGTTATCACACGTACATGATAGCTGGCACAAACTTGTTATGTTGTGTCGCACAGTGCCTTTGTAAATGTTTAGTTAGGTTGGGTTTTTGGCAGGAGATTAGCTCAATGTTTGCAATCCAGACAGATCTCTATCTTATTCTTGAATCTTTATCTTGATTATTAACTGTGTAGTATTACCTCTCACAAGTTTCAGTCCTCCCGTCTTCTTCCAGACAGACTTTCTATCCATCACTGCCCAAATTAAACAACATTGCCCCGGGCGCACTGTGTGATGCAACTTGGCTCCTTGGCTTCTGCTTCAAGTGGCAGGAACAGTAGACTCTGTGCCTGCCCAGTTCAAGTCTGTCCAAAGCCTATTGAGTCCAGATCAGGAGCTTTTCAAGCCAACATTGTTTCTCTCACGAGAGAACTTACCTTTCACTCTTCAGTCTGTGCACCTGTCACACAGATCTGTCGCAAGCTCACATGCACCCACGTCACCGCCATACATTGAATGAATTCTGTGGGAATCAATTGAGGTTGAACACTTGACGTTGCTCTGCGCGTCAGTTGTGTCTCCTCTTCTGCCTCACAGGGGTGGAAAGCAAACAGGTGAGCCCACAGATTGAATGGTCCAAAGTCGACAAACAGAAATAACTTATGATCTGTGCTTTACCTTCTACAGTGTAGAAACCAAAAAACCTCCAGACTCGGCTTCTCAGATGCTTTGGTGTCGTGATTGTCCACTCAGTGTAACGTAGTTACACTAACTCTTAGTTTGTTTTTGTTGTTTGGTTCCATGTCTCATCACTAACTCTCCTGTCATTTCAGGGCCTGCCTTTCTTACCTGCCTTGCAATCATCTCATTTCCCTCACTTGGTTTTCCCCGCCCACCTCCTCACCTGCAGTCCATTTGCTCATTTGTTCCTCAGTATAAATTCCAGTCATTTTCACTCGATCCCTGCCAGATTGTCTAGTGTGTTCTTGCCTAGCTATCCCGCGTTGTACTCTGTTTTCTGGCCTGCCTGTTCCTGACCTGACTGCTACCCCGCTTGGATTTTGGATTCCCTTCTTGCCTGCCCCTTCGGATTTGTTTGCTGTACGGACTGATATCCTGGTTTTGACCTCTGCCTGTCTTTTCTCTGCCTGTCGGTGAATAAACCACGTTGCTCAGACTGTCTGTCGGCGTGCTTTTGGGTTCTCCCTAGCCAGCACCAGTGTGCGTGACACTCAGGGTGGCTTTACTTTCTAGCGTCCTCCATTTTTACAGTAAAACAACGTAACATTAATGCCTACTTTACTGATTATAGAGCTTATAGAGTGAATATTTTGGTTCATTACAGTTCTAATATGAACTTTCCCCCCATGTGTGAATGCATGTTTAAATTTCAAATAAAAAGAGACGATGAGAGGGTGGGTGCTGTGGACTTTTTGTGTTGTATTCTGTGCGCAGCAGTAAAATCTGATCGAAAGTGTTGTGCGCTAAGTGCTGAGTTAACTAACAACAGCAACCATCCATGTTACACCATGTGAAATAAATAGTGAATAAATGGCTGGACAAATGCAGTATGTTGTGAGTTCTGATTCAAGAAACCCCAGTAATGTAGAGGTTGACAATGTGATTCTATAGTGAGAACTAAAACTTCACCGTGAGACTACATACTTCCGCTAACATCCCTTTATAAATATCACATTTTAATTGACCAGATCTGGATTTTAATTTGAACCAAAAACTACACACCCATCGATCAGCATCTGAACATTTTCATTAAGTGCTTAATGTGTAATGCTGCTAACTAACAAACAAACAAACGCAGATGAACACATAACAGGTAATAATGCACAGTGCTGCACATTGAAATGACCCGTGCAGTATGTAGTACAGTATACAAGTGTCATATATTTGAGGATTGAACTCCAGAACTGTTGTAATGGTGAGCCGTGCTAGATACAGAGACTCTGCTTGACACTTACCTCAAGCTGTGTTTTAATCTCTATCTCTGATTTGAAGATTTGAAAGAGTACATGTAGTTATATCCTAATGTGTGTGTGTGGTCTATTTGACTTATGTTGTGGGGACTCAAATCCATTTACACAGCCACATTATGGGGACTTGTCTTCCCATTGGGACCTAAAGAATGTCCCCATCATTACGGTAAATTAAATCATTACATTGTTAGGTGAGTAGAATAATGTCATATTGCAATATAGTGGTAGGTTTGCTCATGTTAAGGTTAGGAAGGATTGGGTTTGGCAAGTACACATTATGGTTGAGTCTCAAGGAAATGATTGTAAGTCAATGCAAAGTCCTCTGAGGTCACGCAGACGTGTGTGTGTGCCTGCATACCTGTGGGTTTGATTGTATCTGAATGTGTTTATGGGGGTGTTTGTTGTGCATAGTTTTGTCTGTGTGCATGTGGGTGTTGCTGTTTGTTATCAGTTCTCTATTGTGACATTCTGAAAAATATCTTTGTCATCTATTGTGTTCAGTGCAGACATAACACACACAAATATGTTCAGAAGAAAAACAAAGGGTTGCACTTCTGCATTTCAGTGAGCGGCTGCTCCTGCATGTGCGTGTGGGCACATGTATTTATTAAACAAGGAATTTATGCGATGAAAGGGCAAAGGTCACCAGCATAGCGCTGATGCTGACGCTCCATGGTGCTCCACATTTGATACTGATGGAACCAGTAGTTAGCTCAGTCATAGCAATGCCTGCGCTGCAGAGGTTTTCGGATGTACAGCCGAGCACCGTCACCTTGGTGGAGCTTATTGTAACTGCAGACATGAAAAAAGAAGAAATATAAGAATGAATTATAAGGGAATTTAATCAAAACAGGTCTGTCAACGTACCATGATGCAAGCTGATATCAAGGCTACAGTCCTGTAACTATTAACATTGTTTTTTGTTCATAATTATTAATGATCTACTTTTTCAAATAAGTCTAACATGAACCTCCAGGTTATTGATGCTTTACCAGACCAGTCAGTGCTGTCAGGTTAGAGCATGGTCAAATGTTCGCTAAGGTAGCATTGGCGAACAGCACTTCCTGTTCACTTTCGATGCAAGCCAAGGGGAGATTAAACATTTGTTTCATGTGGCGAGGCAAATTGCAGCGTGGCTTCGCATGAAGCTCGACTTAAGTGAACTTTGACCTGTAACATTCGCTTGCATTCACGTCACCGTGCCCTCACACTGTGACAGCTTAGATGAGCAAGAGAAAACCTCAAAAACATATATATGTGACATTTCTACTTCTTGTTGAGGCTTAAGGACAATAGTTTGTTAAGCCCTATGAGACAAGTTGTAATTTGTAATTTATTATTTTAAATGTTTATTTTACACTYAGTATTAATTCTTTTCAGTAAAAAGTATGTTGAATGACGATAACTTTGGCTCCCTTTTAATGCAGTGGTATTTAAATGTCATTATCAAGTATAGTATATTAGGTAGTTATTATGGATTTCTCTATTTTCTGTGTGAAAAACAGACAGAAGAAGTTTCAGAACCTTGACAGAKAAAGTGGAAGTGAATGTCCTGTGTTTKTATAACTGAGTTTACTGCAGGAACTCACTGTTGCTACTGAAGCAACTGTTTTCAGCTCCCAAACAGTTCAATGTTGCGTCGCAGGTCCCATCCAGGCTGTCAGCTGGGCTCGCACAACTTGGACACTCCTTCCCATTCTTGGTAGAACTGGGAACTGGAAATATGTGAGAGGAGAAAAAAAAGTGGAGACACACATGTTTCAAGKGCACGTCTTYAGAACATGTAAGAACACCAGACCACAAGCTGAACCGACTTTACTGAATTGTCACTGTGGCTGCATTGGACCCCTCACTGGTGATAAAAAGCTCCTTGTCATCTCAGCAGTGTAACTGTATGTGACAACTTTCTCTGTCCAAAGCCAATTGAGTGCAACATTGACCGTCCACTTTGAGAACTGTTCTAATCAAATTCCAAATCATTTTCTTCATTGACAATTCAGGAACCAGGCTGACTAGCTACAAGATGAATCCTGACAATAAAACATTTTATTTGCAGCAAAGAAATATTGAAAAAAAAAAAAAAAAGGTAAAAGACTGTGAACATAATTATTTAATGAGTGAAGGAACTACGCATCCTATAAACCATTGCTAATGATCCCTTCTTGAATTTGTTGCATTGTCGTTTGTATCTTGCACACATACAGTTTTTCATTCAGTGTGTCGTAGCAAATGAGTTAAGTAACAATCCGATCATACCTGATTGTTGCCAATCCTAGCCAACATAATCACAGTTGTGGTAAATGTTTCCATGGCAACAGTGAGTCCCACCAATCAGAGATCAGACATTTTTTGAGCTTATGAGACACATGATAGCTTTTTCTGCTCCTTCACCCCTTGGTGCTAAGCTAGGCTAACCACATCCTGTCACCGGCTCCATAGGCATCACGACTGGTATCAGTCTTCTCTCAATCCCAGACAAATATAAAATAAGTGCATTTATGACACATTTAAACTTGCACTGGGCTTGGAAATGCAAGTGATTAAGGTTTTACAAAATATTTTTAAAAAAAATTGCAGCTAATCTTACTGGCCAGCGTCTCGGAGTTGCAGTTGTCAGTCCCGCAGCAAATCTGAGTGCTGGCGTGCCGAAATAAACCGGCGTTCACTGACAATACAGCAATAGTGTTGAGCGGAGTGAAGCAGTCCTGCAGTGAGGAACAGCTTTTCTTCACCATCACAGTAGTAGATAAACCGGTCCAATTTGCTGGAGGGAAGGAATGAAAAATATGGGAATGATAAATAAACAAAATTTGAATTGTTAACTTATTGAGTCACTTTTGTAACAATAACCTACTTTATCTCATCACAAGAAGATTTAATTGTTGATTCTTCATGGCATCTAGTAGTAAGGGTGCAAATTGCAGCCAACTCATTATCCCTCCACTCACCTGTGGTGGCTCTCAGGTAACATAAAAACATGCAAGGCCCTCTCTTCTGCATGTATTTGTTCTAGGCTATTGAAAAACATGGTGGTACCACAAGGCAGACTATAGACCTCATGTAAAAGCATTGGATTCATAGTACTATAGATTACTGGCACCCACCTGAAGTGACAGTTCGGCACACTGTCATCGAGGCAGGACACTGGACAGAGGTTGTGCCGGTACACATTTCGTTTGTACACTCATTGCAGTTCAGTGACTCAGCTGGAATGCAAACAAAACAGCATTCAATTCATTTATGTTTCATTTCAGGACAGAAGGAGAATAACAAGTTTCAGCTCCCACCATCTCACACACAAAGCATGGTAGGGAGGTGAGATGTCACCAGGATGACACTGAGAACCCTTTTCTCCAGGACTGGAGGCTGCGTCCTGTTTAAGTTTCCCCTTAAAACACTTTTTTACCACTGTCATAAATACTGCAGAGTGCCACAGTAAAATAAATATTTCAAATGATGGGACTGCATTAAAGTCGGATTTAACAAATTCATATTTATACATATGCTATTATTTAGCTTCTCTGCCTGTTGTTTTGCAGAGTGTATGAACATGACATGTTTACCATGTTATTGCACATATCTTTGTATTGCATGTATTCATCTACATCTCAATTGACCCTTCTAGTAAAATAATTTTCAAACATGAAAATTAGAACCAGGGAAACACAACAACCACAGCACACCACATTTGTAAAAGGCCTGCATCAAACAATTTCAACTATTCATCAAAAATTAAAACTGGTCCTGAAAACTCATATGTTGGTAAACCTGATTTAAATTGTCATGACCAGACATTTGCAGTAGGGCTGCAAATAATAATTATCACTTACATAAAAAAACACCCCAAAAAACCCTCAACTGTATTCAAATTACATTAAATAGAAATAAACATCAACATTTCTATTAATTTATGATCAAAGATACTGATTGTGTGGTTCTGTAAATCATAATCAGTAGTGTTACTGTAGCAAAGAAGTACTGTGTAAGTCATATTTTCACAGATGTGTAACATAATATCTGTCCTTTTGGTGTAGACGGTAGTAAATTTATTGGTTTGTTCGTGTGATGCAGGTTAAAAAAAGATGCACGATAAAGAACTATAAAGAAAATGTATCTATCACACTTCAAAACTACTACAGACAACATCATAAGACAAATCAGATGCCCTGAGATAATCACTTGCCTGGGTAGAGCAGAGCCCAGGTCACACAGACAGTCAGCAGCAGCTTCATGTTCGGTGGAGGTTGGCAGGTGAAGACGAAAACACCAAAGCAAATATATATACTTTCAGGAGGAAGTGAAATGAGCAGAAATGTTCTTGAATGTAACCAGTTGAACTACTGTTTATCTGATTTCACACTCAAACTTTCATAGTTGTGTTATCTCTCACGGAACTCCAGCTAATCTCACGGAACTCCAGCTACTGAATACCGGAGCTGCTAGATGTTCGGTTGCTGTATGTAAAAAGGTAAATAGACAGACATGGCGATTCCGGATATATTCATTTCTTAAATGTGTCTTGATTTTCTTACTGAAGCACTGTGGAGGTTTTTGAGAATAAATGAAAAATAGAGATGTATTAAACAGATAAACCCGCACATACCCATCATGCATTAGACTGTGTGTTCCCGTGTGATAGAATCATTATCTCACAATCAATCTTAGTTTCAGTTTGAAGTTCTAAATACACCATCTTTTTTCTTTCCCAGTTGCCTCGGTGCAAACAGTGACCTGACATCTTCAACGTGTCACTGTTCATCAATAACAGGCACATGGAAAAAGCAAATGGCCCTGTATAGAACTGCTTTGATGCAAACCAAATTTTCATATCAACTTGACAGAATGAGCACGCACAAACACACATTAAAAGTTGGTCTGAACTGCTCAGCACACAGTGATATTAGGGAAACCAAGGTAGCCAACATGTTTCTCCAAGCCACCCGGTCTTGCTGGTGTTCTGAGGCCAACTGATATATGTTATCACTTGAGCTGGTTCTGGCTCAGAGTTCTCCTCCAATCGGAACTTGCACTGGACAAACACAACAGGCACCAGAATCAGATGCCTGAATTATTGTAACTGGATCCTTCAATAGAAAGAGAGCAGTAGCTTTACTCCAGGCTCCACACCTGGTCCTGAGGAATGAGTCCAGCCGTCCTATAGAAGTCATATACCGTATAACATGTGATGCTGACATATTAAAGTGTTCTTCTCTGTTCTTCATAGTGCTCTTCACTCTCACACTGGAGAGGTCAGACTGCATTTCGTTGCTTTTACTTGTGACGTGCAATGACAATAAAGTTGAATTCTAACCTAATCTAATCGAATGAAAAGAGACAGATTTGAATCTGCAGAAACTTAAAATCAGATAAATACACTCAGACAAATAAAAGAATAACATTCATGCACACCATGTGTGGAAACAGCACAGACATACAGACTGTATCCTGCTGGCAATAATGATCGTCACTGATTGAAAACGATAAAAGATGTGATGCAGCTTCTGCTGCAGCCACCTCAGTGTTCAAATGTGCCACAAACAATTCAATTCACTTGTATTTGTATAGCTCCAAATCATAATGAACATTATCCCAAGGCACTTTACGTAGAAGGTCAAGACCTTAAAAAGGATAGAGAAACCCTTCCCATGATGAGCAGCACTTTGGACCGTGGAGAGAAAAATCTGCCTCATTAACTGKAATGGGGATGAGAGGAGAGGTGGGTGAAGGAGAGGGGAGAGAAGAGAGAGAAGGTGAGGGGAGGGAGAAACGTTAGTGACGTGTTAAAATAAATAAATAAATGTGCAGGCAGAGTGACGGGAAGAAGGGGAGAAGTGCTCAGTGCATGATGGGAGTTCCCCCAGCAGTCTAGACTTATAGCAGCATAGCTAACGATAGGCTTTGTCAAAAAGAAACATTTTAACCGAACCAAGACTGGGAGCTGGTTCTACTCTTACTTACTCTAATCTAGGAACCACAAGAGAGCCTGTGTTTTGGGAAACATACCACACTAACCTTGGAGAGTTAATGAATATGTTCAATGCCTTAAACAACAAAAGGATAGTTGGCTGTTGAGGCTTTTTGCAATGCAACAAATTCAAGAAGGGATCATTAGCAATGGTTTATGGGATGTGTAGTTCCTTCACTCTTTAAATAATTATGTTCACAGTCTTGTATCTTTTACCTTTTTTTGGAATTTGATTAGAACAGTTCTCAAAGTGGACGGTCAATGTTACACTCAATTGGCTTTGGACAGAGAATGTTGTCACATACAGTTACACTGCTGAGATGACAAGGAGCTTTTTATTACCAGTGAGGGGTCCAATGCAGCCACAGTGACAATTCAGTAAAGTCGGTTCAGCTTGTGGTCTGGTGTTCTTACATGTTCTGAAGACGTGCCCTTGAAACATGTGTGTCTCCACTTTTTTTTCTCCTCTCACATATTTCCAGTTCCCAGTTCTACCAAGAATGGGAAGGAGTGTCCAAGTTGTGCGA